TATATTGTATGACAGGCTTGTGGTGCTGGATACAGAGAGCTAGTCTCTGTATTCAGTGTTGGGGTGAGTGTGGCATGGTTGAAGGAGAAAGTGTGACAGGGCAAGGGCAGGTGAGAGTGACAGGATGAGGGAGGGTTATGTGACAGGGCGAGTGTGGCATGGCTTGGCAGGATGAGTGACAGGATAGAAGTTAATGTGATAGGTTGAGTGTGGCAGGGTGAATGGGGATGAGTTTGACAGGGTTGGGGTTATGTGTTGCACGGCTGGAGGAGGAAGTGTGACAAGGCGAGGGAAAGTGAGTCGGACAGGATTATGTGACAGGGTGAGTGTGGCATGGTTGGGCCCAAGTGGAAGGGTTAATGTGAAAAAGGATGAGTGTGACAGGGTTGGGGGTGAGTGTGACAGTATGAGAGAAGATGAGTGTGATAGGATTAGGGGGATTAATGTGATAGGGTGAGTGTAGAAGAGCGAGGGCTGGTAATTGTGGTATGGATGGAGAGGGTGAGAGCGACAAGATTAGGAGAGGTTAATGTGAGCAAGGCTGGGTGAAGGGGGCATGACAGCATGTGGGGGGTTGCTGTATGTGTGTGGAATTGTGACGTGGGTAGGTGAGAGTGTGGGAGGCAGTGTTGGAAAGGGTGACAGTGTGTGCAGGGGCAGTGTGTGGGAGGGGTGACTATGTATTGGTGACAGTGTTGGGGGCTGACAATATGGGGTGCAAGTGTGTGAAAGGGTAACAGGGTGAGAGAGCAGTGTGAAGGAATGTGACAGTTTTGGGGGCAGGGTGTGAGTGGGTGACAGTGAGGAGGAAGATGACAGTGTGGGGTAGCAGTGTGGAGGATGGTGACCGTGTGGGGGGCAGTGTGTTACAGTGTGGGAGGGCAAGGTATGTGGGACACAGTGTAGTGAGGGCAGGGTGTGTGACAGCATGAGGGGCAGTGTGTATGACCATGTGGGTGGCAGAGTGTGTGGGAGACAGTGTGGGGTGCAGGGTATGTGGTGGTCACTGTGGGGGGCAGGTTATGTGGTGGTCAATGTGGGGGCAGTGTATGTAGGTGGGAGAGCAGTGTTGGGGCAGTGAGGGTGGGAAGGCAGTGTTGTGGCAGTGAGGGTGGAGGGTGGGCAGTGTATGTAGGTGGGCAGTGAGGGTGGAAGGGCAGTGTTGGGACAGCGTGGGTGGGAAGGCAATGAGGGTGGGAGAGCAGTGTTGGGGCAGTGAGGGTGGGAAGGCAGTGTTGTGGCAGTGAGGGTGGAGGTGCAGGAGGAGAGTGAGGGTGGAGCAGTGTTGGGGCAGTGAGGGTGGGTGGGCAGTGCTGGGGCAGTGAGGGTGGGAGGGCAATGTTGGGGCAGTGTATGTAGGTGGATAGTGAGGGTGGGAGAGCAGTGTTGTGGCAGTGAGGGTGGGTGGGCAGGGTTGTGGTAGTGAGTGTGGATGGGCATTGTTGGGACAGCGAGGGTGGGTGGACAGTGTTGGGACAGTGTGGGTCAGAGGGCAGTGATGGTGGGAGGGCAATGTTGGGGCAGTGTATGTAGGTGGATAGTGAGGGTGGGAGAGCTGTGTTGTGGCAGTGAGGGTGGGCAGTGTTGGGGCAGTGAGGGTGGGTGGGCAGTGTTGGGGCAGGGAGGGTGGGAGGGCAGTGAGGGTGGGTGGGCAGTGCTGGGGCAGTGAGGGTGGGTAGTGCTGGGGACACTAAAATACCTTTTTAAATTAATAGAATTCCCTGGTGGTCCAGTGGCAGCAGTCCCTGGTGGTCCGGTGGGATCATTTCCGTCTGCAGCTCCGCGAGAGCTGCAGACCTTGTTCTCGCGAGAGCCTGTCAGAGCGTTGCCGTGGTAACCCGCGGCAACGCTCTGTGTGCTCGCGAGAAGCACATTATGTGATCTGCAGCTCTGCACTTGGCGGAGCTGCAGATCAGCGGCTGGCTCTTCGTGTGGCCAGACCATGTGGAGGGGCCACCCGGCGGCATACTGGGCAAGCTGCCAGGCCCCCTCTCACTGTCGGGGGCTCGGTCATTGACCAAGCACCTGACTGTTCAGTCTGTCATTAGGCGATTTAGGCAGCCGCGAGGCCCCAGCATGCTCGAGGCCTTAGGCGGCCGCCTAAATCGCCTAATTAGAGAGCCGCCTCTGCACACAGTCTAATTTGCCACTACAGTCAAAAGGAAGACGGAATGCTGTCCTATGGGGAGGTCTAATGAGCACATGGCATTTGCCACGCATGTGCATAGCACCCACTTGTCATGGGACAAAGGTGTAGGCGGAACCACGACCCAGCGCAGAGGGACATCAGAGTTGGGATGAGGTAAGTAGATAAAGGATTTTTAACCCTTTATTCAACAGGGAGGGGTTTACAAGGAAGGGGGGAGGCAGAGGGAATACAGCTTTATGACAACAGTTGGTGTGATTATTCGCAAATGGAAGAAAAAAAATAAAATAAATCACTGTCAGTCTCCCTCAGTCTGATGCTCCATGCAAGGTCTCACCTTGTGGAGTTTCAATGATCTTGAGAATGGTGAGGAATCAGCCCAGAACTACACAGGAGGATCTTGTTAAGGATCTCAAAGCAGCTGGGACTATAGTCACCAAGAAAACAATTGGTAATACACTACGCCATGAAGGACTGAAATCCTGCAGTGCCCGCAAGGTCCCCCTGCTCAAGAAAGCACATGTACAGGTTCGTCTGAAGTTTGCCAATGATCTGAATGATGCAGAGGAGAACTGGGTGAAAGTGTTGTGGTCAGATGAGACCAAAATTGAGCTCTTTGGCATCAACTCAACTCGCCATGTTTGGAGGAGGTGGAATGCTGCCTACAATCCCAAGAACACCATCCCCATCGTCAAACATGGTGGTGGAAACATTATGCTTTGGGAGTGTTTTTCTGCTAAGGGGACAGGACAACTGCACCGCATCAGAGAGATAATGGACGGGACCATGTACTGTCAAATGGGTGAGAACCTCAGCCATGGCAATGAAAATGGGTCATGGATGGGTATTCCAACATGACAATGATCCAAAACACACAGCCAAGGCAACAAAGGAGTGGCTCAAGAAAATGCACATTAAGGTCCTGGGGTGGCCTAGCCAGTCTCCAAAACTTAATCCCATAGAAAATCTGTGGAGGGACCTGAAGGTTTGAGTTGCCAAACGTCAGCCTCAAAACCTTATTGATTTGAGAGGATCTGCAAAAAGAAGTGGGAAAAATCCCTCCAGAGATGTGTGCAACCCTGGTGGCCAACTACAGGAAATGTCTGACCTCTATGATTGCCAACAATCATAGAAGATGTCAAATACTTATTTCACTCACTGACATGCAAATCAATATATAACTTTTTTGATGTGTTTTTTTTTCATTTTTTGTTATTCTGTCTCTCACTGTTAAAATACACCTACCATTAAAATTATAAACTGATCATTTCTTTGTCAGTGGGCAAACGTTCAAAATCAGCAGGGGATCAAATAATTTGTTCCCTCACTGGATATATTTTAAAATAAAACATATTACATTGCTCCACACACACAAAAATCAGCCCCTATACCTATACACACACTGCATCCCTTATACACAAACTAACTACTTTACCAGTACATACACTCCATCCCCTTCATAAACAAGCATTACAATTATTAAAAACACACACACACACACACACGATCCCCTAAATACGCACACACACAAAACTACAGCCCCTCTTTACACTTACTACACCTCAAACACAACACAGCAGATATAGACCAATGTACACACCACACAATAGCCCCTTCTACGCACACAATCCAAAAGAAGTCTCCAGTTGACTAAACAATAACCCACCCTGGCCCTTTTTGTCTACTGGTATCCCATTTATGGAGACACGAGAGACAAGTTACTTGCAAATGCAGTGCAAGCATGTTAAATTTGCTTGTGCTTTGTAAAACAATGCAGGGCCTTTTCCCATGTGAGATCTTTAGCAGGGCTCAGCACGTGAACTAACATGCTCACTTCAACTGGGTGGGGGCGGGGGGCTTGGCATGCTTGTGTTTGACACTAAAGTGTCCCTCTGCTCACCCTACACCATCATGAAAGAGTTAAAAAAAAAATGACACAACGCCCCTTATTCTGCCTTACCTCCAAAATGAGCCACTCTGATTTTAAAGGTCTGCACAGAATTTCTGTCTGTCTGGCTCTGACTCAGATGTTTTTTTGGCCTTGAATAATGGAGATGTAGGCCACTAACATCTGAGGGGGGTGAGCAGTGTTTAAGATCCCTGTACTAAAGTGAAAGAATTGTCAGGAAACCAAAGTAAATTACAAACTAAAAGCCTAAACAAATCTGGAAAAAATATATATCTTTAAAAGGCACATTGTAGGCACCTAGACCGCTTCATCTCATTGAAGTAGTCCAAGTAGTCTGGGTGCAAAGTCCCTGTTCTCTTAATCCTGCAATGCATTATATTGCAGTCTAAGAGAAATTGCAATATTTACATTGCAGGGTTAAGATTGCTTCTAGTTGCGGTCTACCAGAAGGACTTCCAATAGTTTTACTAACAGAAACGACACTGGACGTCCTCACACTTTGTTCGATGACATTCAGGGTCTTCTAAATCCTAAGGCCTAATGCATGCAGGGAGCTTGCAACGCATGCACATTAGGTCCCCCCCATTGGTAGAGAACAAGCCCAACCCAGCACCAAAGGACATTCGTGCTAGAATCAGGTAAGTCACTAAAAGGATTTTTTTTTTAACTCTTTCATGATGGTGTAGGGCGAGCAGATGGACACTTTAGTGTTAAGAATACATCTAAACATAACATTAAAGTGTTCCTTTCAGCGGCTATTCTCTCAATGTGGCTACTTTGGCCTTAAATTTGAAATTAATTTTAAATTCCTGATACACTCACTTTGGTGCTTAGAGTGTCCCTTTAAGTTCACAGCACCATAAACCGGTGAATGCCTTGGTCTAAAACATACTGAATGTACAAATCACACTACGCAACATAATATATTTTGTATTATTTTTATTTGTACATTTTCATTGTTTATATTCAAACGTTGTCTTTACACTGCATATATAGTTTTACAAAATTAAACAATTCTGTTTATATAAGCAAGCATCCAATTCACTATAGGAAAAATAAATGGGAAAGTGGGGGGAAATACTCCCTTCCTTTCTCAGTCTCTGGCCTCTACCACAAAATGTATAAAAATATAGTATTTTATCAACCACATTATTCATTTTGATCTGTTTTCCATGTATGTTTTGAATCACTGATAAGGTCCTACCATCTCCTGGTATCTCCTGAAAAAAATCTCAAAAAGTGGCACGCCAAAGAGCACATTTTATGAAATCTATGATCCTTACTGCAGCTCCTTTGAATGAGACCAATATCCCTAGATCTTGTTGTCAAATTGCAGCAAAATTATGTTTTGCACCAAAAGAAGGCAATCATATTAGATAGCAGACAAGAGAAGATAAAATCACAGTTGTATGTCAGATGGAAATATACACAATACAAGCTTTGATTTAATAACCTACGTTTAAACGTCCTGCTTATTCAGTATTTGCAGATGAGGTTAAGCTACAAAAAGATGTTGTAGATGAAAAAGATGAAAGCTGCAGTTCCCATTCCCTTCCTGTATCGTGCATCGTGTTAAATTCTGCTTCTAAATCATCTGCAACTTTTCTAATCTTTGCTGCCTGGTCAGATTTAGCACCATTCTTCAGATCCTGTGCACCCTTGATGACAAAAGCAATGTCAAGTACTAAAAAGAGTGCAGCAAAGACCCCTGATACAGCTGTTGCAGCCTGGGCACCACGTGCGGCCAGCTGTGCCCCTCGGGCTGCAGTTGTTGACAGCTTGACTAGCTGAGCTAATCTGGTAATCTCTGTTGCAGCAAATACACCTCTTACACCCACTCTAGCAAAGTTGCAGTTTATCAATCCTAATTTAGACCTTATGTTATCAATTAATGTATTAATCTCTGACACAAGTTCTTGCATTTTATCCATGCCCTGTTTTAGTTCCTCTATAATCTCCTCTACCTTCTTGCATTTATTTTTGATGTTGACATGGTCAGCAATGGACGCTGCTGCACCAGTGAGGCCTCCAGCAGTAGCCACTCCAATACCAACACCAGCAACAATCAGAGAAGCTCCAAATGTGAATGGAGCCAGAGCAAGCCCTACAATAGTGGTAATACCACCGGCTATTCCCACTGAGCTCCCGGCGATGTTGGTGATGATGGCTCCTCTATGGAATTTGTCCACATCATCTGCGATACTGCGCAGTTCTTTAATGCATTTCTCTAACAGATTTAAGTAACAGGTCTGGGTGTCTTCATATTCTTTAAGATAAATCCTGACCTGTTAATGAAAATACAACAAGTATTTAATCTAAAATAATATTTACACCTCAAATTGATTATTTTTATTTAATACATCAAATTATTAACATTTTAATTTATTTATTTATTTATTTATTTTTTTAAAGGATGTGGTGCACCCCTACTTGGGTTTTCTATGTAACTATAAAAACATGGACTATTAGACCAATCTCACATCTCACCAACAAAAGCTGTTCAGTATAATTAGTCTGACTGCTCGTATGGTCTTAGCTTTTTCCTGGTTTCAAGATATACCCCTTCCCTTGCTATAGTAATAGTACAAAGTAGAACATGTTAATGAATGAATTGAATGCGATGGTAAGTAACACTACTTCATTTAAATAAAATATGGAGCATGTGGTCTGGTTATATTCAAAATTAGCTCACGTGGTTTAACATAAACATCCTTGCATTTGCCCAGTGGACCTCTCTCTATTTTGCACACCCTCTGATGATTGCGCTTTTGTATTTTTTTTTGTTTTGTTTTTTGCATTTTAATTATTTTATTTTGATTTTATTGGGTTGTTTGCCCATTGTCACATTGTTAACTTCATAAACTCTTACAAATGACTGGAAAACCTCTGTAACAAGTTTACAACATTTATACACGTTTCTTAGCACTGTAAACTCTTGCTGTTTGTTTGTCTTCAATGTCCGTTTGGCTGGTGATGAATAAATAAAAATTTAAAAAAATAAATAAAAAAAACAAAAAAAAAAACACGTTTGTTGAAGAACAAAGGGGGAGATATATGATGGCAAAATTAATGCAATTCTGGGTGCAAAATGTTAAATGTTGAGAGATATTCTGTTGGTTTCCAATGTGATTGATGGTTATTTAGCTCTTTGCCCAGTGGTTCCCAAACTTTTTAGGTTCAATATTTTTCCAAGGTGCCCCAAGTCAAAAATATTTCTAGGTTGTATAAATGCGCTGTGGCATATACTGGGCCCCTGTTCAGCAGAAATGGTTCCCTGTCAAGGGCGAATCCAGAGCCTAATCTTGGGAGGGGCACTGGTAAATTATTTAAATAAACAATCCAGGCACAATAACCACTACAGCACTATGTAGTGATTATGGTGCCAGAAGTGCTGTGATACCCTCCCAGGGTAAGTAGTCAAACTGTTTAAAAACAGGGGCTGTAGAAGGGGATAGGTGCAGTAGTGTGTGTGTGTGTGACGGGTGCAATGTAGGTGAGTGTGCGGGGTGCAGTGTGTGTACAGGGTTGCATTATGTTTGTGAAGGATGTAGTGTGTGTGTGTGTGTGTGTGTGGAAGGGGGGCAGTGTGTGTGAAAAGGGGGGGGCAGTGTGGTGCCTGATGTTGAGAGTAGGAGTCACAGTGTGGAGGTGGATTAGCAGAGTCTGGTGCAGGGCAACCGCACGCCCCCTGGTGTTGAGCACCAGCGTTTGTGCAGCCACATACCAAAACCCTGATTCAGCTTATGCGGATCCCAGGAACTAGGAGCAGATAATTAAGCAGACCTCCCAGGAGCTGAATAGGGAGGCTCTGCAGCAGGGATGTATCCAGTACTGAAGTAAGGCAAAACTAGGAGAGCAAGGCACCATGCATGAAAACAAGACAGAACTAGGAGAACAAGGAAATACTAGAAATAGACATCATGCATGAGAACAAGACAAGACTAGAAATAGGCACCATACATAAAAACAAGACAGAACTAGTAGAACCCAAAACCAGAGCAGGACAGAAAGCAGAACCTAGAACATGTACACAAGACATGAGGAAAACAAGAACATAACATGGGCATGACTGGACAGGAATTACAAGACAAAGTAAAACAAGAGGAAACATAGCTAAGCACTAATTATGAAAAGTATGGGGATTTAGTCACATTATATGATCATACATTGCATAAGCCTGCCAACAACGCCCATGTACCCCATGTCTGGCAGGTCCTACACTGCCTAATGTATGCTAAAACAACCACACTAAACAACAATACAGCACTTACCTGCAAGAAAGTGCAGAGACATGAAACACTGCTGCAGGTCCAGACTGAAACAAAAGGAAAGTGGAAAACAAACAGGTGTGGCAACATAAAACAAACATTTAAATGAATCCAAGAGACTGGGAAATCCAGGGACGGAATATAAGAATGAACCCAGAAAAACCCAGCATAAAGAAAACCAGACATAGACCAGAAAAACCAAGCAAGGACAGCAAAAAGAGTACTGGATACCAGAAGCCAATGCAGGAAAGATCCACAGCGAGGAACAGAACGTGACAGTGTGTATGGGGGGCAATGTGTGTGTATAGGGGAAAAATTTATATAACATTTTTTTTTAATTTTAAAAAATATATTTTCATATTCCCCCTCCCTTCTTACCTTTGCCTGGGAAGGGGGACAGTACTAATCCCTGGTGGTCCGGAGGAGAAGTCCTGATGTTCCCAGTGGTAAGAGTGAACTCTAGCAGCTCTTGAGGCTAGAGTTCACTTTAGCGAGATTCTGAGCTTTGTCATGGTAACCACGGTAATGCTCTGAGCTCGCGAGAGGAGAAACCGGCATAACCCGGTTATCTTCAAACAGTGGAGACAAGTTTGCAAATTATCCTCTGATTCACGAATGCTACCACAATGTAATTTGGAATTTGCTACTGCACTACAGCCTGTAGTATTTGAATAGAAAGAATAAATAGAAGTTGCCCTTTGGCAACTTTTATTTTCTCACAGGGCACTTTACACTAATCACGATGGTGCAGCATACCACGTTAATCTAAGCATGGTTTGATTTGATTTAATAGCACTTCTATTTATTATTTTTCACATTCCTCTGACTATCTAGCAAGCTTAACAAGGAGAGAGGCTTTATGTAACTTATGCTTTCCTGTCTACTCAAATACTACAGGCTGTACTGCAGTAGCAAATTCCAAATTACATTGTGGTAGCATTTGTGACTCAGAGTATAATTTTCAAACTTGTCTCCACTGTTTGGAGATACCCGCAGAGAATTTTTAAAGTGACATTGGCATCGTATTTTACCTGCATAAATTATTTTTCTGTGGTTATACTCTAAGGATTTAAATCTCCACAACTGAAGACAAGTGCTCAATTATATTGGTTCCTACCTTCTAGACTGTTTCCACATATTGGAGTTATTCTCTTTAGTAAGGCTTTATAAGTGGATACTGAACCATCTCCCTACTTTTCTTACAATAGTACAGCATTCTGGACCATAATATAAGTAATAACTTTTTACCTTTAGTCAATCCCCCTACATTGGCAATCACTAATAAAGCCAGAAATTTTGGGGATTCTTTATGGTAAAATTTCATTAACTATTTAGAGGCTTAGCCTAGGGGATTTGGATTTCAAATACCTGACTTTATTTAATTTTTGGTTAAGTGTCTTTTTAAACATTGTTAATTATTCTTCCAGTTAGCACTTACATACAGAGTTAATCTGTATGTTAATGTTCTAGTTCTATTGCTGCTTTTAAAATATAGGCACACCATACCAACTGTGCCATATTTCTCTAGTTGGACCACTGCATGGGTGCTATAGTCCAGGGCGTCCAGAAATTCTTGACTCTGCATCCTCGTTTCAACCACTCTGCTTGGTATAACCAGGTGCACAAACATCTTCAAATACACAGGAATGGAATGTTCACATATACTCTCTTTTTACGATCTCTGCAAGAGTTTTCTTTACCAACACACGCATATGATTTTCACATGAAGTGAACTGGTTATTTTGTAAAAAAGTGGGGGGGAAAAGAGTCTCACTTTTCCACCCCACTCAGCCTCAGGGAGACTGTCAGTGATGACAGTCTCCCTTTCCCGTTTTGCAAAAACTGGCAAATGCTTGATGAGCATTCAATAGAATTTGCTTCTCATCATAGTTAATCAATAACTGATGCTTTCTCGTGGAGGATCTTGACCTCTGCTTTAACGATCATGCAATCAGAGTGAATGCCTCCTGGCTGTCAGCTTGACAGTTCTGGTGTTTCCAAATTGCCCTAAATGAATTTATAAAAATGTCAATTTATTTTTAAATCACGTTTGTAAACTGAGGTAAGGAAGGTGTAGTAGGGTCTTATTTCCTAAAATATTTCAGCAAGTTATAGTACTTTAGGGGTTTTACGTGTCCTCTCAACACATTTAGAAGAGCAGAGGCATCTGAAGACAATTTATTTTGCTTTCCAAGTATTCCTGGGCTTACTGAAAAGTAACAATAACTTTTTAATACACAGGGTCATAGTTTGCAGCTGTTCGCGAAAATGTTGGCCAAAATATTTAATATAAGCTATTGTGGAGTCACATAGTAATGTAATAAATCTTTAGTAACAAACCTTTTTCTCAAGCTTTAAGTATTCTTCCAAGGCTTTTCCAGAAATGTTAAAATTGTTTTGAATAGACATGTCAGGACACAGTTATCAAGCTGTAAATAATCAAAATACATACAAAAGAAAAAAAGTTAATTAGATAATCTATTTTATTTAGACCAAATTCAGACTTGTTCACGGTATTTAACAGATCAAATTGCCCCGTGCATAACCAATTGTTTTTGCCCCATTCAGTACAGAGTCATTTCGACTTTTGCATATAGACCCCTATAGCTTTCAGCATTCCCAGTGATCAGTCATGTACATGCCACTAGGTTGTAGAACAGTCCCCACCTCAAACAAATGATATTATATAGGTTGAAGCATGAACAGCTCTCTCATTGAAGTTTAACAGTGCTGGAGAGTCAAGCAGCTCCTGTGTACTCCCAGTATCCCAGTAAGAAGAAAAATAAACAGAATACTTTAGCTCATGGATTGTTGGCAATCTTGTGAGTTTAAAGAAGGGGTTATAAGCGACTCTCGCAAGAGGGATATTGTCGCTATCTGATCTGTCTCCTCAGGATTATGGGAGATCCGGGGAAGGAGATAGGTAGGAGGGAGGAGAGATACATTCAAGGCCTAAGTAAAGGCAGAAAATGTATAGAGATGTATGGATGTAATTGTTTGTATGTTAAGATGATGGCCCTTCTAGACTTCCTGCGGAGAAAAAAAAAAAAAATAAGAATAGGAAGATAATATGAGATTTGCAACAATTAATGCACAAGGAATCAATTCGCAATTTAAAAGATACACAATTCTTGAATTTTTGAGGAAGGAGCAAATACACATAGTGGCCTTACAGGAAACACACTGGAAATTAGAAGAAAAAACAAAACTTAAGTCTAAGCTATTTCCCACGATAATTAATGCTTCTGTAAATAAAAAAATAAAAAAAAAGAGGGGTGGCTTTTTTGTTTTCGAAGAATCTCTCTTTGAAAATTGTTCACCAAGAACTTGATACAGAAGGTCGATACATAATTCTAGTGTGTGAAATTAACAACCAAAAATATACATTAGTTAATATTTATGACCCGAACCAGGCTCAAATTCCATTTATTAGAAAAATATTTAATAGAATTGACCGTGTTAAAACGGGTCGAGTCATTGTTATGGGGGACTTTAACTGCGTCTTGGACGCAGATTTGGATAAGAGTCCCAAATTAAAAGGTAATAACTATAAGAAGGTAAAAACTAACGGGAAAGTATTTTCAGAATTAGTCAAAATGAACTGTTAGATTATTGGAGGATATTCCATGTAAAAGAAAGAGATTTTTCATGTTTCTCTAAAACATTTTGCTCATACTCTCGAATTGATCTAATTTTGGGGGATAGAAATCTGGTGAAACAGGTTAAAAATTTTTTTATAACATCCATAACGTGGTCTGATCATAACCCAATTATATTAGAACTAAAAGAACAGTTTGAGAGACCCAGAACAGAATAGAGAATAAAGGACTGGATATTGAAAAATGAAAACAATGTTAATTATATTATAAAGATGACAGACCTTTTCTTCCTAGAAAATATTAAATAATGAGGTCTACCCAGCAATGACGTGGTGCGCATTTAAATCGGTCATAAGGGGTCACCTCATAAGTCTAACAGCTAAAGAAAATAAATTGAATGAGAAAAGGGCTAATCTGGCGGAGCTATATGTAAGGTTGGACGATTTACTCTATCAAAATAAAAGAAACCCTTCAAATAATATTACCAATACTATAACAGAAGTAGAAAAACTAATAAATGACCAATTGTTAGTAAAAGCCAATAAGGCCTTAATAGGCATGAAACAAAAATGGTACTACACGGGAAGCAGAGCAGAAGCATTGATGTCAAACAGACTAAAGAAAGAAAGAGTTAAAAAGGTTATAACTAAAATTGTAGACAATGAGGAAACCTTACTAAACACAGAAAAAATAGGAGAAGCTTTTAAAAAATATTATTATGATTTATAAATTATTTCGAGTCAAATAAATAAATTAGAAATTAGAGAGTTCTTAAAAACTATTAAAATCCCGAAAATTACAGACCTACAACTACAAGAATTGAATAAAGTATTCAAGGAGGATAAATTGATCTTCTGTATTAACAAACTTAAAAAAAATACATCTCCAGGACCCGATGGGTTTGATAATCTCTTCTATAAATTACTGAAAAACAATATCAAAACAGATTTGATTGAAGTTTTTAATTCCTTTGGAACAACCGAAAAGATTCCAACAGAATTACTGCAAGCTAATATAGTCCCAATCCCTAAACAAGAAAAAGATACAGAAAAAATCAAGAACTATTGCCCAATTTCCCTTCTAAATACCGATATGAAGCTCTATTCGGCCATGATAGCAGAACGTTTAAAAAGGATCATACCAGACGTGATAGATAGGGATCAGGTGGGATTTGTCCCTGGTAGATCATCTACCCATAATATAAGAAGACTGATTAATGTGCTGAACCATGCAACAAGAACCGGGGCTCCCATGTTGGCCCTGTCTTTAGATGCTGAAAAAGCATTTGACAGGGTCAACTGGGAGTTCATGAGGCAAACCCTTCAGGCATTTGGGTTAGAGGGAAGACTTCTTCAGAATATATCAGCTCTCTATACAGCACCTATGGCTAGAGTTGTAGGAAATGGCTTTGGGTCTGAATGGTTCTTATTGCTAAACGGAACAAGACAAGGCTGTCCCTTGTCTCCGTTACTTTATAGCCATAAGACAAGAGCACGGAATAGTAGGTTTTGATTTTAATAAAGTAAATATAAAAATAAATTTATATGCTGATGATGTCATCTTAACAATACAAAAACCTCTACAATCTATAACACAATTTATGGAAACCATTGGAAGTTTTTCCCAGGTTTCTGGATACAAAATAAATATAGAAAAATCATCTATTTTAGCTGTAGATGTAAATAAAGAAGAAAAAAATGAGTTTATGAAGAAATTTAATTTCGTATGGGTCGAAAATTCATTTAATTATTTAGGAATTAATATATGTGCTGACCCACTGAAAATAGTAGAGATCAATTTTCTTCCATTGCTTATTAAAATGAATAAACTCCTAAAGGGTTGGAAGAACTTAGAATTTTCGTGGTGGGGTCGTATTAATATTATTAAGTCTTACATCTTACCAAAATGGTTATATTTGTTTAGAATGATCCCTCTGAGTGTCCCTGATAATTGGCTGCTATTAATACAACAGGCCTGGTCTAAGTTCATATGGCAAGCAAAAAAACCTAAAATGGCAAGAAAACTCCTCTCGATCAATCAATCTAAGGGAGGCGTAGGACTCCCACTTATATAACAATACCACAAAGCGAGTATCCTTTTCCGTAGTATCATTTCACAATTGGCTGGGGCTAAGTTAGAAAAGTGGTACGCGGTGGAAAAGGAACTTGCAGAAGGTAGGGAGCTAGTAAATTTTTTTTGGTTTACTCAAGAAGGAGACACAAATAAGACCCAACCAAGCTCTGATAGTGTGGTAATTGAATCCATTAGAGGAATGTGGAGTAAGATAAGAAAAAGTGTAGGATTTAAAAATCACATTATTAATACCCTACCGATCTCAATATTGGAAAATAATATGCAAGACCTAAGACTAAATTATTGGAGAAGAACAGGTATACAAACCATAGAAGATATAACAACAGGACCCTGGGTTAATTCGTTTGAACAAATATGCACTAATTTTAGTCTTCCCGAAACTGAGAAATTTAATTACATGAGGATTAAAAGCTATCTGAATAAAACTTTAAATAAAGAGAAATGGGAATTTAACAATAAACTAGGAAATTTACTGAAAGGAAAGGACATGAAAAATTTATTAAATAAGTGTAATTCGGTATTGAGACAACTAGAGGGTGACCTGACGTTTACAGCGATAAAAAAATGAGAGAAAGATCTAAAAACACAAAAAAAATCGATGGTCAAGAGTGGAATACAGCAGGCTGACAGTTGCTAGGTGCATTGAATGCCTAAACTTAGTGGAACTACATTTTAAGATTATCAACAGACTCTATTTGGTTCCTAGCCGCCTAAATAAAATAGACCAGAGTAAAACAGATATATGCTGGAGATGTGAAGGGGGAGTGGGAGATTGTCTACATATTTGGTGGAGTTGCCCCCCACTTAAAGAATTTTGGAAAATGTTCTTGTCTAACATAGAAATGGTAACTGGATTTAATTTTCCCCTTGCCCCGGAAATGTGCATATTACACTTAAATATTTATCAGTACAATGTGGATTTGCAATATTTTCTTTTTCATGCATTAATAGCAGCAAAACTCTCCATAGCTAAAAGGCAGAGAACCAAAATTCTACCAAATTGGGATATAGTAAAAAAACTTATTAATTTCGCAATTTAGGATGGAGGGAGGTCTGAACAGAAATTTGAAGGAAAAAAAAACGTATTTCACATAAATAAGTGGCTAGAAAAACTGTTGGCAGTAGATTAATATACATAGAAGAGGAAGGGAAGGAAGAAAGGAAGAGAGAAAAGAAAGGGAGAGAAAAAAAAGGGAAAGGAAAAGGGAAAGAAAAGAAGAAAAAAGAAAAGGAAAGAAAGGAGAAAAGAAAAGAGAAATGCTAACTCATATATTAGCACTATGAATAGTAATGCAGAGAGACGAGGGAAGAGGGTTCCATCATCATGTATGAATGTTGTGTATGGTTATTTCATGTTTTTTGTTTTTTTTTCTTACTTAATTAATAATAATGTTTTTTCTATGAATTAAAGTCATTTAATAGGAAAAAGTGGAGAGAGAGAACATTGATGACTAATATACCAAGCCTGAGATGCAAAGTAGGAAAGAACATAAGAGGCTGGTAATGTCTGAAAAAAAAATAAAAAAAAGAAGAAAAATAAACAATTAAATATATCTTTGCTGCCAGGCACTATAACAGAATAGCAAGAAGGAGATGTTGCTGTGGTGCTTGGAATGTGTCTTTAAGCCCATACAGTACACTACACCGTAGTGGTTATGGTGCCAGAAGCACCCTGCCACCCCTCCCTAATGGATGGAGTAAAATCGTTTTAGAATGGGGAAGGGTGAGCAACAATACTTTGATAGTAGCTTTTATTAATGACTGGAGTGTTCTTTTAACACAAGTGAAAGTTTATTTTCAATGTTTTATTCAATTGTGTAAATTCCTGAGCCAGTTCCCCGTTTAAACATGTACCTGCCAATATTTAGGTTTAACCCTACTCCTGAACACTGACTGGTTTCAGTGTGGGGCTGCTGTTTCCAAAACAGCACCAAGGATCCACACAGCACTTGGTGGTCCATGACACACAAAAGAGGGTTGTATTTGCCCCGGCTAACAGGAGTCATGGCAAGTTCAAGCAAGTGTGGGCAACTTGCTCTCTACACAGCTCCCTGGCTGCCCTGTACTGATGTATGCAGCAGAGATGTATCACAACCCCAGTACAGAGCTGGTTGTTGTGCGATTAGCTGTGCAATTAGTGCAAACTCTAGCATACCATTGGAGCACAGAAAAAAAATATAAAAAAAAAAAATCAAGTCTCTGTGCTTGTGTGTATGAAAGCATCAGCTGGGTGTTCCCAGACAGTAAATGACCCGCTGTGCAATGCATATGCACAGAACGAACATCAGCAGTCTTGGAACTCTTGTTCCGGGCTGGCTACTGAGGTACTTATGCCTGAGATGGAGTTACACAGTATAAAATATCTCAGTATGGGCAGAGTTTCATATTGAAAAGCTGCACATACAGACTCCAAGCACCATAACCACTTCAAATTACTACAGTGGTCATGATGTTTGGAGTTACTCTTTAAAGGGACAGTATAGGCACCCAGGTCTGGGTGAAATGTCCCTGTCCGCTTAGCCCTGCAATGTAAAACAGTAAAACCTTGCTGTTATTGCAGTTTGACATATAAAAATCACAGCATCAGGCAAGTTAGGAAGAATAGCAGTTGGTCCTTTGACAAAAGCTTCCAGACAAAACATTAGGGGGGGGGTCTCCTATTTTGGAATCCATGCACTTGTATTCAGTTTGCCTATTGATTCTTGGTATTTACTTTATCTTTTTAATTCATGCAATAAATTACGTTCGATGGTCGCATAGTTTGCTTTAGTTTTCTATCGAGTAACTTTGTTTCTTTTTTTTTTTCTTAATTTGTTTTGCTTGGTTTATGTGACCTATGTATACATAGTTACTGTTTAAGGTGTCTAGTTTAAGATTATGCATTCATCTATACATACGTATTATATACAGGTTTATTCAATAAAGATCATATCGTTTTTACTGGGTTTGCTCCTCATTTGTTTACCAACATGGCTGCTCAGCCAGATAAAAAAAGTACATTTTTTTTTTTTCAGAAAATCAATATGCTTAATTAAAAAAAAAAAAACTAATCACACACACACACATAAAAAATTAACTTTCATTAAAAATAATGACCTTTTAAAAATGAAAGGTTAACTTTTGAAGACAGTTAACCTTCAATGACAAGAGGCAGACAGTACCAGGGCAACAGGGCACTTCAGGCACCAAAATAACTACAGCAGGCTATAGTTTTTGGAGTGTCACTTTAATGTTGTGATTAGTTTGCCATTTTAGTTTTCCACAATTCAGAATTTAGCATTTAAGCTTACAGATATAAAAACAAAACAAAAAACAAAAACACGTTTTGACTGAGAGATAGTGGAATATTAAGATATATCCACCATAAATATCTAGAAAAGAGGTAGGCAACCTTCAGCACTCCAGATGTTGTTGCAAAGTATCAAGGGAGATGTAGTCCACAAGATATAGAGTGCTGAAGGCTGACTATACCTGATATAAAACTACCAATAATTAGCAAAAAATTGCAATTAACAAAAAATGTGAATCTCAACAAATGAAGACGAAAGATATCTTCGATCAGATTTAAGCAGTAATAAACGCTTACCTAGAATGTTTTCAGGAGAATGAACAGAGATGGGTGCTTCCACTCTTTTTATATTCTAGAAGAGAAAGTGAAAGTGTGTTTTTAATCTATATGGAAGGACTCTTCACATATTTCTTGTATTTGGTCCTTCCTTTTTTGTGTGATTAGCCAAGCTGGATCAGAAGGCAGATCACCACTCCTTAACCCTGTCAGCTGTATATTCTTTGTCCCAAATTGTTTAAGTGCAGTGAGAACACATGCGAACTAACTTCTAAACAATATGTATGTACAAAGTAAATAACATCCTTATCAGTACCTGATTTCTCCAGAAGACAAATGGAAACCTGTAGAGTCTAATCTAGGCATAAGGAGAAGCGAAACTGTACTTTGCTCCCGGGATGCTTCTAGTCACCGGCAGTATGTCAATGCCAGTACATGCAGACAGACAGAACAATGTACCAATAATCTGGAGACTTTATTTACTGTGCATTTATATAAAAAAATAAATTAATACTGGCCAGTGCTGGTATTGCAGAGTAATCTCCATTTAAACTGAGAAAAATACCAGCATTTATATTGCCAGTATCACTGCAATATTGGCACCAGCCAGGCAGCATCAAATACTGTCTGTGCCAATAAAATAAAAGCCTGGTGGAATCCCTAAGAGTAGTGTGTGAAAAAAAAAAATATATTTTTTTTTTAAATCAATGGGCCTATTCCATGGGCCTGGGCCTGGAGCTGCAGCTCCATCAGCCCCTATGTTAATCCGGCCCTGCTTCAATCACTTACCTGGGTCCAGCGCCGATGTCCCTCCTCCTCCTGCTAATGCGCATTAGGATCTCCCCATAGGAAATTATTATTTAATGCTTTCCTAAGGGGAAAATCTGACACTGGAGGTCCTTATGCACAGTGCGAGGACTCCAATGACATCTAATGGACCAAAAGTCAGTTTGGATTCCAGAAGTCCCTCTAGTGGCTCTCTGGTAGACAGCCACTAGAGGAGAAGTTAACCCTCATAGGTAATTATTGCAGTTTATAAAAATTGCAATAATTACCACTGCAGGGTTAAGGGTGATGGGAGTTTGCACCCAGACCACTTCAATCAACTGGTTCTGGTGACTATAGTTCAAAAATACACCAAATGAGTATAGTTTTAAGGACACCAAATAAGGGACCTGGCTGCTAAACGGTGCCATAATTTGGTATACTTAAATATGGAAATCACTATCATTATCTACTAAACAGCGAAAATATCAAAGTAAAAAATATTTTCTTAATTTTGATCTTCCAGTTATTTAGTACATAATGCCCTTATTTTCTATCCTTATGTGAGATTGACATATTTAAGGGCACCAAATAAAGGAACTATCTGCTAAGCAGTGCCCTAATTTGGTATCCTTAAATATGGAAATCACACATAAAAGGTACCAATTTAGGGCGTTACCACACTTTTTTCTTTTTCGGATGTTTAGTATGTGACTAATTCTTTGTTATCCTTATGTGGGATTGACATATCTGCTAAACACATACATTTTTATAAACATATACACTTATTTATATGTACACATTGAGATACAAACACATAATCACAGACCCACACACATTCAATCACAGATACACACAATTACTGACATAACTGAAATACAAACAGAAAAATCCAATTTATACATATACATTTGATATTTAACATGTCCTCTAGCCTCCCTACCTTGCACTGCGATCACTCTGCTCTTCCTGCATAAGCGTCTCATGCACCCTGTAGCCATGACGATGCCGGGATATCAGGCTGCTGGCTCACTTTAGGGCATTGCAGGGAGAGCACAGCAAAGTAAATGACTCCCTGTAACTCTTGCCATACAAACTGCCACCCCTACAGAAAGATATTTTGGCAGAGTAGTCACCTGCTCAGGTTAGTTAATGTCCCCACTGAGCGCTGCTGGTCTATGCAGGGGTGGGCATGCACAAGGGCGATGAATAATCTGGGGGGGGAGGTGGGGCTTCCCCCATCTAGCAACGCCATAGTGGCAAAGGCTCTCGGTACTTATATCTCCCCACGAGACAACTTAAGCACTGATTGACTTCCACTAGAGGCAGTCTTAACCCTCTAATGTAATTATTGCAGTTTCTCAGAAAGTGCAATAATTAATATTGCAGTGTTAGGCGGACAGGGACTGCGCACTCATACCACTTCAATTAGTGGAACAAACACTGTGATATCCATATTCTCTGATACGTACAGATGGTCATGCGCACATGCTCTATATACATATATAGCATAGGTGCCAAAAGGTCTCCATTTTAAAGTCCTGCATTTTGGGGTACAGTCCCAGCAAAATGCAGGAGGTGACTGGGCATTGGGACTATACACAGAGGTCAGCTTGGTCACCCTCTTTAGGGGCAGCCCACCCTCCATTTGATTCATAGTCCTGCCCTCTGCAAGTCTGCTTTCTTCCCTGTCCATCTATTTTTTTTTTTATATAATCCCCCACCCTCACCTTTGATTGGAGCTCAGAGTGGCTCCCATGATGAATGAAAGGGTTGGAGAAACCATTTGATATACATCTATCTATCCATCTATCGATAAAGCAATCCCAATTGTGAGCACAAGGGATTGTGGGTAGCAGGATACTTTAAGGTTTCATGGTAGTGCTGTAAAATTCACCCTGTCTGGAAATAGATGCTTTCAGTTCTATGCACTAACCTTAAAGGACCACTATAGGCACCCAGACCACTTCAGCTTAATTAAGTGGTCTGGGTGCCAGGTCCAGCTAGGTTTAACCCTTTTTGCAGTAAACATAGCAGTTTACTGCAAATGTTTGTTTTAAATATGTTTATTTGTTTCATAACATATTCCAATGCAAACGTATAATGTATTAAAGCGGGTTAGGGCCTGCGCAGAGGCCTGGTTTTCATTGCATGAATGTATATATATATATATATATATATATCGTTGCCTGCTCATCAATCATGTCTATTGTTCTACAGCGTTTAATATAATATCACATTTGAGCGTGTTTTTGTTGTCGTTCTTTTTAGGGCATTGTTCAAACTTTGCAGTATCTAATAATCATTTGGCATTGAATGATAACATATCATAATGTCCTTGCTGCCTGGCCTGATTCTTATCTATCTTGCATATTTATAGCCAAATTAAATATATTAATATGTAAGCATGTAAACGTGTAAATGCTCATTTAAATAAAGTGATTAGCTTATAATGCGTGGTCTGATATAGACTGCTGCTAAAAGTGCAGTACTGGTAAAGGTTATATAATCAGACACCCTTTATAAGATGCTGTAGTCTTGTATATTAAACATGCATTAACTTTACGAGAATTTATGTTTCGTAACTTGAATCGAACATGGGGATGCCGCGTTTAAACGCTGTGTCCCAGCTGCCATACCCGTATAAAGGCAATTAACATCTTTTATCTAGCCCATTTCTCTGGTACAGTTGTTGGAGCAGGTTTTTGCATCGTGAATAGATAATGTATTTTTTGTCTGCGTGTGTTGCAAATATAGTTAACAACTAAGCCTTGGCCTGGGTGTATATATTATTTAAGCTTCATAGTCATCAACCTTATAACAGCGGTTTATGGGTCTGGATTCAAATGTGCCTTAATGGAAGATATAACGATAACTACTAACTCAGAGCAACCATATGTGCTTCATATAGGCTTCTATATTCACTCAGGTGTGTGTTATGATAGTCATATATGGTGAAAGTACCGCATTGGCCAGGCGTGTTGATGCAATGATAGATCCTATCTTGCCGTGTGATGAGCGTTTGGTCTTCAGGACTGATGATCGATATATGTGGCTCTATGATCTTGGCCAGTTCTATGTGAAGGTTCAGGTATATTAATATATGTCATGTAGTGCAACCGCCTGACTATTTAAGGACCCCTTAATGGACAGCGTATTTCTTCTGCCGCTGAGTCATTTAAATAAATGCTAATGAAGCGGCTACATTTAAAGCTTAGTGTGCAGGCAAGTGACAGGGTACTTCAGTCCCTTTAGGAGCATTGCAGCATTTCAAATAATTAGTAGACATATATGCATATAGCCTACTGACTTTTAAAGCTGATATGGGTAGTCTATTGCATTGTTATATGGTCCAGTATTAAGGTAATAAGCAAATACAGTATGTGAATAATTTCAGCAGACCATTTGTGTTATGTCATTTAAGGGCATGGTCCCTAGGACATAAAAAAGGTGATTCCCTTCTCTAGAGGTGATTTATCAGCTCCGCTGCAGGGGGGATCCCTCATCCCACGGTTTATGGCTTCTCGGGTGCTCTTTTCTGCCTCAAGCTGGTTGCTCACTGCTTGGGTCCCCCAGCATCCCACATGTAGCGAACCCCCTCAGTTCCCCCCAGGGCTTGCCCCTGCTGTGCATCAGAGTGTCTCTCAGTGTTGTGGGCACTCAGGGTCGGGAGCAGTCCGGCGGCCTCCCACCCCTGAAAAGTCCACGGGTCCCCCGTCCCCTGCACCTCCCCAGCTCCTGCTGACCTCTACCGCGGTACCGCAGAGTTGGGGGCGTCTACCCCTGGACCACCACCAAATCCTGGGGCCCAGACCGGCTCCTTGCCAGGCAGTTCTCCGCCCGAGTGGTCCTTCTATGGGATCCGGTATCCTGGGGGTCTAGGTGACCTAGCGTGGCTCTCAGCCGCGTGTGTGTATCCGCCATCTTGGTTCCCCGTGGGACGGGGCCCCGCGCGGGCCTTCGCCCCCAGCCTCTGAAGGTCTGACTCATGGGCCGGGATTACCCACCACCTCTCTCCCTCCATCACCTTATGAGCTTCGCCGCCTCCACATATGTGTAGGCCTTGTGCCGGTCATTCGGGCTTCGCGGTTGCAGCCGTTTGTTCATCTCTTGGGCTCTCCTTATGTGCTGCCCTGGCTCCCGGTGCTCTTAAAGGGTAGTATTTCCTTGGCCTTTTTTGGCTTTTTTTGGCTTTTTCTGGCTTTTTCAAAGCTGTTGTGCCATTCAGGGTCGGAGCTAGAGTGGTTGGCTGCCGGCCCCGCCCCTACTGCAAATGTTTGCCTATGGGTTAATCCAACCTCTAGTGGCTGTCTCATTGACAGCCGCTAGAGGGCTTCCGCGCTTCTCACTGTGA